TTATTGTTTTTCCAAGATAAGCTCTTTATTGTTGTTGTGAACACACAAAAGGCAGAAATCTTTGAAATGGGTGAAATCTCCCAGAGCAGCCATCTATATCTTCCTTTCTTTCATCTCCCAGTTTGCTCACAAACAAAACAGGCCTACCAAAGAGTCACTGTGACAAGATCTTGCCTGCTTAACCCTCCCCAGCCCATATTTACAACAATAACTTGAAAATGTTCTTTACCTCAGTATATAACAAAGCCTGCCTGTTTCCTCCACATGAGCACAGACATTTCAGATGGAGTTCTCTTGCCAAGTCAAACTAACTGACGATGTAAAGAGACTTTGCTGTGCACTTTTGTGGTGTATAATTAGACCCTCTCGACATGGGTGGTGCTGCAATGGAAAACAAAACATGATCTACCAGGTCCCACCCTGATTTTAGGTATTCCATGGAGCCTTAAGAGACGTGCTTTGATATTTGTCTCACAAGGTGCAGTCACAAGTACATAATTCATATATCTTGTGTTTAATGGATTTTCACATCAATCAATCATCCTAGACACTATAAAGCTACATATATTATCTGCAAACTGCTAACCATAACGCTAATTTAGCCAATTAGTACTGTTTATGTACTAATATTTTATTTGGGGTATATTGAATGTTACAATTAAACATCACAGACATATGAATAAATAGTTGACAAGTATTTAACCCAGCAGCAAAGCTGTTTCTTCAATATGACTGCCTTGACCTGCTAAGCGTATTATCACTTTAGACACGTAGGTTTGTCCATGGCCAGCGTCAGCATCATGGACAGGCCCCTGTAGCTCAGGCTCATCCAAAAAGCTACTATCACCCCTCAGCTGAATTCCAACACAATTTAAAAATAAGACCTATGATTTGGTAATAAAAATGTTAAAACACCCACATTACACTGTAATAACAATCATGTTAATTATTCAGTTAATAGTAACATACTGTAACATGTCTGCACAAACTCCTTCCAACTAAAAACAGCTATTATTAGTTTATAAGGCTGTCTTGGAAGCATGGAAGCGCGATCTCACTTGAAACTTGCAAAATATATTCGCTATGAGCATACTGGGCATTTATGGTTATTATAAATGCATATTGGTTCATGATGTGGTTTTAGATAGGTTGTGTAATCTTGAATTTGTCATGTAGGCTGCAAAGGTGGTATCATTGCCCATTATGTCCGTCTACTCTTGCACTGACCATGGCTTTATTATTATGTGCCCGTTGTTTTTCCTGACATTTGTTTGATGATTTATGTGATACATATATAAAAAAACATGCATCTCAAGTTGCTGAGCAAGTGCTTGCCATTCCAGTCACTCATTTTTTTTCCTTCCGTCTAACTGTTGTGGGTTTTTCCCCACATGGCACAGTCACCAAATGCCAGAGCCTCTCTGAAGATTGAGACATTTTTAGCAGTTCAACCAGCTGTTTCTCTAAGAAAAAAAAGAGAAAGAAAAGGCAGTTGCACTTGTCTGGCAGCTCCTGGCATTTTGGCAAATGGTTCTGTGGTTAAGGGTGGACACTCAGTGACAGGAGTGTCTTACAAGTTGGGGTTCAGAATATGCAAGGGATAACTTTTGGAGTGCCACATATTTCCATGTGTGAGACAGTCTCGCAGTAACACCCTATTCGTACGGGTCAGTATCAATAACCCACAACTGCAATATTCTTAATCCCTCTGGATTAGTGCAAAGCATTCTTGGGAGGCTGAGTGTTTCATTCAAAGCTGTGTGACAGATGACAGACTGAGGGATGTCTTCCAATAGAAACACACACACCCAGAAAAGACACAATAATATTGACTTAATGGCAACATTTGATAATCTTATGCTTCTGATCTACAGCTCTGTGTTGCAGCTTTAGATGCAAATAGCAGGCATCAACCCAAAAATCACAACTCACTGAAGTGACGTTTTCGCTGTTAGCGATGGCCACATCACGGTTCTTTTTTCTTCCCACAGCATGACTGTTTTTCATGGAGCAAATGGGGACAATAGAAATAGCTGTGCACATGATGTCCCCTACTGGCAGACTATGTTTAGTGCAACTTGGAGCATTTTTTTTTCAGTGAGTATTGGAAAGATCAGGCATTGTTAAGGAATGGTTTCAGAGCTCAATTTTGTGTTTTGTATGAGCTAAAGATAATGGATAACAGTATGTCTGAATTTGCATCGGTTTAAGGCAGGCAAGCCTTTGTCTTAAGTGGTCATTTTTATAAAAAGCTAGACAATAGCTCCCCCTAATGGTGACTGAAAATAAATACAAACTCCTAGTATTTTCTTTTACTTGCAATAAGTCAGCGCTATCTCCTCCCACAGCTCTCAGAGGACTGAGAACATGGCTTCATAGACTAAAGAAAAAAAAAGAATATTGTCTTTAAAATCAACAGCAGTGGTGGTGAATGTGTTTTAGATGGATGTGCAGAGCAGTCTCCATACAGGAATCTAGGCATCTGTGATGTTGTACAGTAGCTCACTGGATTATTATCGGTAATATTTATCCTGCTTTATATACTTATACATATGCCTTATATCTATAGCAGGACTCACAGCAGAAGGTCACTGGCACTAACCTTCTGGGAAGGGAATATATTCAAGCATCCTCTAGAGAGCAGTGTTACAGACTGTTCCAAAGTATAGGTAATTCACTTTTAATAAGGAATACACCCATACAAAGTTAGGTGTGGAGGAGCGAGAGCTCTAACATTATTCCCTTTATTCATGCACCACCCATAGTGTGTCTAGATCCAAGCATAGGTTTCAGAAAGAGAATTAAAAATATATGAAATAGTTTCTGCAAGAAAACAGGTCTAACTGATTTCCTCTGTGTCTTTGTCTCTCCTGTGCAATCACCTGCTCCATGGAGGAGCGGAGGAAAGAAAGAGGACGAGGGAGGAAGAGAAGTAGGAAGAGAGGCCATCAGAGGTCTTCTTCCAAAGTGAAGGGAGGTTCTGCAGACGCTCTGCGTCTTGAGCCAATCCATCTCCACAGACTGAGAGTCATCAGGGAGAACACCTGCACTGCACTGCTCTGTACAGAGCTCTGCCTGCATGCTTGTCTTCCCGAATGCAGCAACATCTGGCAGAGGAGCAAGTGTATTAAAAAAAAAGGAACATCTGCACAGCATCAAGCAGCCAAGTAAACAAACAGCCCTAATGAAAGTGGTAACAGTTCCCAAATACAAGGGTGCATTGTCGACCACCTATTTTCCTTTAATTAAAGGCATATTAAGCACTGGCAGTGTTTTCTTCTGAGCCCATTGGGGAAAATTACAACAGCTCAAAAGACTGTTCACGTGTGTCTCCATATGCCTAACAAATAACACATAATGTGCAGGGATATGCTGGATTATGCTTTACACTTGAAATATTCCACAAGACAGCAATATAATATGCACAAAAATAAGCATTTATGCAGAAATGCACTGTTTGTTGCACATAGCAGTGTATACTTAAAAATAAATGTACAGTATAGTGATGCTCTTTCATCAGTGAGCATGCAACTATACTACAAATCAAAATATTGTGCAGTGTACCATTCACTGGCATTGAAAAACATCGCAAATTCAATGTAATTAAATTTGAATGACACAGTGTAGATGTAAATCCTTGTACACACCCATACATAAACACACACATGCACAAAAAACACACAAAGCACACAATCCTTGTCTCTCGTTCCTTTTCATAAAAGAGCCCCGGGACATAATACAGAATCCCTCCAATGCAGCACAGTTCCAACTGCACACTTGAGTAGGAGTGCATACTCTAAGTACACATGATTGGCCTATAACAGTCATGTGACTGCAGACTGTGATCCCCTGTGTTAGGTCACAGTAATTGACGCTTCCATATGGTATAGATCAGACGTAGCCTTAACCACGCATTCCTCTGTCACAGAGGCCCTATGCTACCTACAAAAAAAGTGAGCCAATCAAACAAATATCTGGTCACTCAGAATCACACATTGTAGATACCTTTCCATAAAAGACGGGTAGCCATGTAGAAAAAAAGCTATGCTCATGTGAGGGTTTTTTTAAGCATTCTGTGGTTTGATTGACAATTTATTGTGCCTTATCCAAGGTGATATGGTACTGTATGGTTTGTTTTTGGTAAGATTGAAAGAATAATATAAACACACTCACACACAGGCTACTGATAAGAACAGAAACACTGCTGCTAGTCCATGTTGCAGAACCAACATCCTATTTTAATGGCAGATTATTAGCTTGTTCTCCTAACCACGTGCACATAGAGTTGTACTGTGGACTAACCATGTCATTGTAATAAGCTTAATAATCCTAAATCTCCATAGTATTTCCAGAATCCAAAATATATCTCATATTATCATACCATAATTCACTGCATGTTTCTGCCTTCACTGCATGCTGTGGTTATAATGTAGTCCTATACAGTGAGACAAAAAAGAGCTATGCTATCTTATACATAAACCACCAATCCTAACTTTAATACACCTTTTTAGATTGGAAGAATTTGCATATGTCTTCCTTTCTTTTGTTAATAAAATTATGTATTTAAGGACAAATGTTAAATAAATGTTTAACATTAAAAGACAAAACTATATAGCTACACGACAGTGTGCCCTATCATGACAGCCCCAAAACCACCACTATAAACCACCCTAAAAATTAGACCACAGGGATGACCCGGTGTCTTTCTAATATACATGAATTATATTTAACATACTTTGTTATTTTTACATTTAAGCCCGTGCATCCCTCCCCTGCCGGTCCACTGACCTCTGACCCTCACTGACACTGTGAGCATTGAGGGATTTAGGATCACAGCACTGGTTTATTTTTAGGGCTGATGCATTTTTACACAGCTATACAGTTCCAGGTAAAAGGCTTATTTTAAAACCAGCTCTGGAACCTGTCCACAATTCATGAGTCATCCAATGTGGGAGTTTATACAGTCCGAAGTAGGCCTGGTAGGCCCTGGAAGTTTTCACATCGAGCTCTTACTTACAGACTTGCTTTCCACCGTAAGTTATCGCGATACTTGTCGATTAGTTGATTAAAGAGCTGTATAATTATCATAAATAAATAAAACTTTAAGCTAGTATCCAAGTTTCATGTCTTAATAATAAATACAGGTCCATTTCCAAGAAATGTACCCTTCCGTTTATAATCTAAACTGGCAAGTAAAAGGTAAATGAACTACTTATGTAAGGTTAACCGAGTAGTAAAGTTAAGCAAAGTTAATAGGAAAACGCTTCTTTTCGGACGAGCGCGTGCTTGGTTGCTAACAGTGACGTAGGTACAGTTTAAAAAGGCAAATATTTATTTATTTATTTATTAAATTTTATTTTAAGTTAAAGAAATTTGTTTAATTAAATCGTTAATTTGTTACAGTGCTGATTCCCATTTACCAGCGCCAAAGTTGTGGGCTAAAAGAAAAAAGGCGTACTGTCTCTTTAAGGCAGCCAGCCAGTCTCTTCGTATTGATCAATCCACCATTTTCCAACACAGAGCGGCGGCAGTGCTAACACAGCTCCGGCAGCGCGAGAGAGAAGAGAGCCACCCCTCTACCTGGAGAGGAAGCCAGGGACCGGGGGCAGTCATGGCAGCGAACATGTACCGGGTTGGAGGTAAGGTGGAGGGGGTAGTATTTTAAGACCTTCCTGTAATTTTTTATGGCGGACTCGCCATGATTAACGTCGGTTCTTTTATGTATTTACAGCGCGTGGTCCGTCTTTTGCTTCCCTTCTTTTATTTCCCTAAAGCTAAAGAGCCTTGTGCTTCACAGATGATGATGATGGTGACTGTGAAGAGGAGGATGGTGATGAAGAGTAGTGGTTCTCTTTACAAAACTGCTCCCCGGATTTCCTCGCTTCTTTTTGCGTTTTTCTTGCAACTTAGCAAACAAGTACTTTAGTGCAACGATGCACTCTGAGTAACATGCATTGCGCTTCTATATATTTTGATGTAACGTAGTGGATATATTCTAAAAGTTTTGCGTGCCATTCAGCTACAGCCCGGACTATACGCTCACAGCCATAAGTAACGTCGTAAGTGCTTTAAGTGTCCTGCAGAAACCTCTCAGTGCTCACAAGACAGCAGCAAGGAGTGCATGCTTTTAAAATGCAGGGAAGGAGTGGAACAAAAAGTTAAAGACAACACTTTACATGCAGGAACCACTAAAATTCTCAAAGCATGCGTAGAGATCCGTTTTACACATTTATAACCAGTGTGTCTTCGCTTCTTTTGTGCAGGCAATTCAACTTAATACCAAATTAAAAATCCTGATTTCCCCTCCCACTCATTTTTCCCCTGCATATATTCCCCTGATTTACATCCCGTAGGTACTGTGTGAAAATGAAAACACGATAACCACTATAGCTGCACTGTATTTTAAATAGAATGTGCTGTTTTGAGGGGGTTTGCAGTGGAGATGCATAAAAAATGGAGAGCTTTTTAGATGTGTCTTCAAAAAACTTCAAATTTAGCTGTCAAAAAGTGTCACCACACAGAGGTTTGATGTGACGACTGTAATGGAGATGGCAGTCCTAAGCATTTGCAGGACAGTTTCTTTATTCCTTCTTTATTCATCCACTTTAATGTCTTTTTGGACTCTGTGGCCATTTGTCAGTAGAAAAGGGAGGGAAAGCAAACTGATTATGTTTTTAAGATTATTAAGTACTAATGTCATTTGAAATATGACTGATGTGATTGCAGTTGGCTTGGAGCATGAATCAAAAATAGCCTATGCTGAAGATAATGGCATTGTTATTTAGTCAAATGAAACAAAGCCTACCTGAGTGAGAGCTGGATTATGTTGGAGCAGGGTAAAAAGTTAACACTTTACCAGCCAGATGTTACTTAGTTTAGTATTTCTGTTTACGCTGTCAGTCTCTTACACTGACATACCAACCAGTTAAGCTATGTCTTGTTTGTAGCACACTAATTTGCAGTAAAAAAGATTGTTTCATTTATTTCATATCTACCTCGCAGCTTTAAGGTTGTGTAGTTTGACTAATTTGTGAAATCTAATCAATCAGAATGGCTTAAACATTTAATGCTCAGTCATCAAAGCAAAGTTGATTACGTTTTTGGAAAAGTGAAAAAGTAAAAAGTAAGCTCAACCTTCACAATTCAATTTAAAACTACAAAACACAATTTAATAAGCATAGTCTTAATTCGTCCTACAACCACACTTCTAGTTTAAAAAAAATAAAATCACAGTTCTAGTTTGGCCTAAAAATAGGCCTCATAATTGACTGAAGCTTCTCCAGGCCAACACCAGAACAAAGCAGAAGCCCACACAAAGATGGCTGCTGCTTTGCAAGACAATGCAGGATCATCTTGGGAAAGCAATGAGTCCCCTTGAATGAGCAGTGGACAAAAGACAAAAGGTCTTGATGTCTTTGTTTTCACCATCCAGGCCACAAGCCACTCTTCCGGTGCCTGCAGCACTTCTTCCTAGTGCTTTCCCTCATGTGCAGGAAAGTGTTGGTGACTAAGTGTAGGCTACACGATAACTTTTAACCATTTCAGCGGTTGGAAGACGTTTTTATGAATGCAGTGAAATTTTAAAAAAGCCTCTAAGACTTGCTGACGACTTATTTTCCCCAAGTGAAAACAACGCTTTCCTGAGATCATGATGTTCTAAATTTGGTTGTCAAGTTGTTTAGAAAGTTTACTACAATTTTTGCTAGTGGGTATTCAGACCTATCATTGAAAAAAGCGGACAGGCTTTTAAAACTGTGGAGCTTTGATTTTGTAGTCAATATTACAGTAAGTTGCTTGGTGGTGTTAAGCCAGGTTCAGTTTTTGGCCAGGTCATCCTCTGTTTGTTTCTTTTAAAATGAATTTGTACAACAGGCTTCTGAATGAGGACCTACTGTGATAGAGATGTTCCAAAATATAGTAAAAAATGTCCTGTTTGTATTTTCTGAAACTGTGTTGCTCTGGTCAAAATATATTTCTACCTAGAATGAGGAGTGTGGGTTTTATTCCCCCATCACCTGCATCGGAACTGCAGTATGAGGCCATATCCGAGGATGTTATGATCACGAGGAATGATTACAGGATGCAAACACTTCTTCGGTCGTCATATGGGTAGAGGTCTGTTATTTAAAGAAATAATTGGAAAATACGGGATCCATCCTTTAAATAAGAACTTGTATTGAAATGTTTGGATTGTGACAGCTCTTGCACAGAGTTTGCAAAATGTGTTGCATTGTTTACTAACTTAAAAAGTGAGAAACTTGGGTGTTAATGCCCACATTTCCTTTGGATGGTGAGGATTTTCTACAGTAATTATTCAGAATGTGCCTGAAGGTGTTGCACTGTTTACTAATCTACAAACTGACTAAATTACAAACTTTGACAGTGCCCACACTTTGTTTGGCTCATGGCTGGTGTTAATCTCCCACGCTGGCAGTTGTGTCTCTTGCAGGGTCTGGTGGGTGTACTCGCTGAGTGGCGAGCTGAGGCTTCTTTGCTTCAATCCTGCCAAGTTCAGGACAACTAGTTGGACAGATGCATGACAACCTTTTTACATCCATTCAGCAAAGTATCATTGTGTTTCTGAGGGGGTCAAACTGCCCGAACGCCAATCACAATAACCCCTGTTTGCTAGCTTCCTTGTGTTTCCTATGGACTTAAGGGTCTGGTTGTATAAACTTCACTAGAATGAATGTTTGAGAAAAGAGTGGAAAAATTTGCTGATTTATCGCATTTGTTAAGTGCAAGCTGCAGTGGCTGCTGCAGTATGATTGCAAGGTGTCATGGGAGTTGTGATCTAATTATTATAAGATCAAATCCATCTCAGCCTTAACACCACTGCTGACTTTATGCAAAACTGCTTTTTAAACATTTTTTTATTCCTCTGTGTAAAATATTATAATATGTCAGAAAAGTGAGCGGGACGGGATATGAAAGACATATTTTTGTCTCTTTCCTGCTTTTGCCAGGAATCCTAGCAGATACTAGCAGGCCAGGTAGACTGTATAGACTGTACAGAGGTGTATGCATCTGTGCATACAGCAGATCGTACTTGATTGTGAGTGATATCAAAGTGTGAAAATAAGGTGCGAGTTTGACTTTAGGATATTAAATTAGCTTCTATTACCATAGAAACCTTCATCCATACTATGGCAGTCTATCTTGTCTGCGGTTGCTGCTTCTGACAACAGACACACCTGTCCGTGTGACTGCATGAGTAAGCATCGGATGGGGTGTGAGCTGTGGAGGGCGTGTGTTTGCTTGGACTAACGTGGGCAGATGTTCATGCTCTTCCTCTGCTGCCTCTCCAGCTCCCTTTCTAGCTCTAGCCCAGCCTTTGAAAAAAAAGAGAAATATGACTAAAGTATGCTGTACTACGTGTAGACATTGAGTTCTCTAGAGATGAGTTTGAAGCTGGAGCACTTTTTGAATTTGAAATAAATTGCATCATTTCATTAAGTTGAAATATTTGGATATGCCATGGTGCAGCTTTATTGGGGCTAGCATATTGCAGACTAAATGGAAGCAAAGATCAGTTGGTCACTGCGTTGTTGGTTTTTCTGTCACATAATCACAGTGTTGGTAGAGCTGTCTTTTAGGGATGTACAGGCAGACTTCCAGCTATCGTTTGAAATGTCTACGAATTTGATGATTCACCACGTAGTCTGTAGAAGTTCAGAAAATAGTCCCATCCCAAGTCATGGATACATGAGGAGAGAGGTGTAACTTTGATTTCAGTAGTCAGTGAGACGTACAAGAAAACACATACACAGAATCAACAGTCAAATTTGTTAAAAAAAAAAAAGGTTCATACCCTTTACTAGGTATGAACAAAGTTTTATGACCGCTTAATTTTAGACTCTGCTTAAAAGTGCCGACAGGATCAGCGAGTCAGGGTTAGAGTACTCGAACGATTGCTGAGCCAATTTATGTTCTGGATACACTAAGGCAAAAAAGGAAACTGCAGCTGTACTTGTCTACATCTTCACTACAGTAATGATCCCTGTTAAAATTGTTTTGAACCTCTTGCATCATTGCAACAGTGTGGTTTTCTTATTATGTTTCCCACTTCAGCTGTTATAAAGTAGATGATTGGCTGTGGGGAACTGCTGTCTCTTGGTGTTGGTCACAGATTTCGGTTCAGCATTCTTGTATCCTCTTTGTGATGTCTGCGATCTGTAGAAGCTACAATCAGAAATGTAATGAATTTCACATGTTAATTTGCTTTTTGTTAACTAATCTAATAATTCAAATGGCTAATCACTGCAGCTTTAATGTACTACATAAGTTATAATACGCTAATACACAGATTCCCAGCTGTTTGTCTCATGACTGTGCCTACTCAAATGCCTTTAACTAGGAGTGTGTTGCAGGGTGTGTCTCTGAGCTGTTCGACAAGTGATGTTCCCTCTGGGATTGCTTAATTTAAATTGCTTTAAGAAACTCTCAATGACAAAGTTGTTTGAAAACAGAGATTTAGGTAATAAGATGAGCATAGTGTTGGTGAATTGTACTTTCTGGAGGGCATATTTAACATAATAAACCACTACGACTATATAAAGTGTGTCTCGATGAGACCACCAATACAGTATAGTTTTCAGCCAGAGCTGTGGGATTTGGACTTTAGGCCCTTACAATGTGCATCTTGGATTATCCTGGTCACCTTAACCGAAGTTTACAGTGAATGTTTGGATACAGGTTATTTTGATTGTAATTCGCACACCTGTTCCACTTATATTAGATTTTATCTCTTTCTGGTTGATTATTTATCTCATGTTTTCTTTCTCTCTGTCTCTCTCATCATTGCGTCTCTGCCAGTCTGTCTCTCTGGCCTGGTTTGAATCAGCCCAGCAGACTCTCTCTTTCGGGGCTCAATAACGTGCCTTGATTGGCTCACAGAAAATTTGACTGCACTATGACATCATGGCCGCCGGAGCCTGCCGATTGGCTGACGCTGAAAGTGGGGGATGGAGAGCGGGGTGGTTGTACGCGGGCTGATGTGACGGGAGGGCTGATGGGAAACCGAGAGACTGATGCTGCTCATTGCCTACAGGCTCTCTCTTTCTGTTGCTCTCATTTTGAGTTCCTCTCCAGCTTGCTCTCCAACAGGCTTCAGCTCCTCACATGTAGAAACTCCAACATTCAACCAGGCTGTTCTGGACAGTCACTGAGCCATTTTCCTCCCATGGTTATTTTATTACAATTTTTTTTCTTCTTCTGGAGGTGGCAGGAAGGGACACGGGTTGAACTTAAGTGTTTCCATTCTTGGTAACTTAAATTTCCGTGCCAGGAAAAAAAAAGAACACGTTGAGCTTTGCCCAAAGTCCCACCTTCTCTAAATGTAGCGGGAGACGTGCTGTCACCAACCAAGGGGGGAAAAAAAAATCTTAGCATGTAGTGGCAATTCACACCCAACACCACATCAAACCGAATGTTCAACATGTGGTTCTGCTTCATTTTCTAAAATGGTTATGACGCATTTTGGCTCCTGATTAATGGGTCCCTCTGAGCTGGTGAGCGTTTGAGGGCCGCAGCTACACGTCATCATTTCTCCCCACGCTTTGCCAAGAGACTTGTCCCTATTTTTTTATTTTTTTTTGGTAAATTAGGATTCTTCTTGTAAACATGGACTTTTTTTCCTTTTCATTTTTTTGCAACAAAGGGATTTTCCGTTCTCAGTAGTAATTCATGTGATGATTAGTTGATTGATTATTTACAGCATGGCTATCACAGCGTCCCACAGCAAGTTGGTGTCCTGGAATGTTTTGTTTCCTAATCAATAGTCCAAAAGGGAAAGGTTTTGTTTGTTTATGTAAATAAATTTAAAATCCTTTCTTGCCAATTTCCCTGAGAAAAAAAGAGCCAAAGCTTATAATTGAATCTAAATAACTGTTTCTAAATGTGTATGAAATAACTAATTGATTCATGGCTGCACTACAGTACAGCTTGTTCTGTTACAGGCAGGTAGGAATAATGGCCGCAGCAGTCAAGGATTACTTTCATTATATTCTGAAAATTCTTTCATTGAACATTAAATGATTTCAAACTTAAAATGGGAAAATATGTCTTTAAAGAGATTAAACCGAAATAGATATTTCACTTTTTGTGATGTAAGACTACATGTGAAAGGCGTAAGTCACGTTTCAGAAGCTAAAATAAGTTTCAAGCAGTATTAAATCAAAAAACTGTTTCTGATTACCGGTAGTTTAATTAGCTATTCAGTTTCTGTTCATGCTGAACAAGTTTTTTTTTTTGTTCAAGGATGACTTGACCGTGCTTAATAAAAGGATAGTGTCTTGGTCACTTTCTCGCAGTTTCACAGCCAATCTGGTGATCACAACTAGTCACAAGCCAGTTTCTTCAACCCCTGACCTCCGTGCTGCTGACTCACATGTGTGTCTGAAAGCGAGCAAGTCGGATATCTCGTCTTCATTTTCTTTCTCTGTGTGCCGCTCAATTTCAGCTTGGCCTATTTGATATTCAGCAGCGGGACAGAGATGTCACAGTGGCAGCGGAGTCTAGTAACAAGCTGTTACAGGGTGAAGAGTAGACAGGCATGATGTGACGATCTTTTCCCATCTTGTAGCAATGTTCAACAGTAAAAAGAGGGTTGCTGGAAGACGCAAGTCATAAAATTTGCACTGTGTATGCCTTCTGAATTGCTTTTGCTACTTGGAGGAAGTGCTAAAGTTTTACATCTTCATGCAAATGATGATTGTTCAGTGGCTTAATGCATAGAAAATTTTTTCAAGGGTTTAAATAAAATAAACGTTATCTGCCAACCGTAGCTCTGGAAATTAGAGTTATCTTGCATTACAAAACTTCAGACTGGGCGTGAACCTCTTGTATTCAGTTATAAGTGTGGGTGGAGAGAAGAATACCAATGAGCATAGTGGAGCAAAAGGTTTTCCAGTGGAGAAGTCAAGGTGTGCCCCCTATGCAGATGCAGTGGTTGCTTTGCATTATTATGTGTTAAAGATTAGCGTGGGCGAGACTGTCTCTGAGATAAACTTTCAACGTTTGACTGTTGATTATTGGAAATGTTACAGTCAGCAGACATATTAAATATATACATGTCAGATGTGATGTCATTGGTAGTTCAGTTTATTTTGGTTGTTTGTGAATTGTTAGGAAACTGTTTTCACTCGGGTTCCTCTGCGCCAAAGACAGTGTCTTTACATGCCGTTTTTTCCTCGACAGAGTTGCAGTTAAGAACACCCAAGACGAGACAAAGAAATTCTGTGAATTGGTACAGATTAGTTTGAAAACTGAGTAAAGAGAAAAAAAACATAAAAAAACACTAAACTTTGTTCATACTGTCGTTCATGGGAAGGAGCTCTCAGTATGCTCCTCTGGTATTCAACAGGCAAAAGTTTGTTTTGTATCCTCGGTGCCCTATGACATAAATGCATCCTGGCCGTTGCATGGGGAGTACTGAAAGCATACAGTATGTTTGCAGAAACACATTAAATACTGCAATTTATGCATGCCAGGCATACATATGAAAATAAAGCTCAAGACAGAAAAGAAAATGCAATGCAGAGAAAATGAATTGCAAAAATAATTCTTTAGCAAAACCAATTCTTCAGCTGACTGTGTGTCTTGCGGTCTCTCTGAGCACCCCTACCTTCACCCAATAAGGACCCCAGATAAGTAGTTGCATAAATGATCAATGAAACCTCAAAGAATTCAGTGTTGGAAGTTCCAGCATATAAGCGCTGCAGCTTTTTCTGTTGCAAAGCTTTGAAGAGATCTTATATCCAGTAGTGAAAGCTTCATTTCCTGCTTGGATAATGTGTGTTGTGTAAACCATCTATAGGTTGTTATGTAGATGGAAACATGATATCATCTTACACAAAGTTACAAAATGCCTTTCTAGTCATACTTGTCATTAGTTTAAAAAAAAAAAAAAAAGCCAAATGAGTCCTCTGGACTGAGGACGGGGAGGGAGAGGCAAGACTGAGACTAATGCACTGAGACTACATTTACGATTTCAGCAGAAAAAAACTTTATCAATGTCTGAATAATTTATTCAGTTGGTTTTCAAAGATGATGGCTAACAACTTTAGAGTCAAAAATGGAATATCTTCCATATTGGTTGAACTGTTTGGTTGGGCAAAACCATTTGACCAACCACAAAACTGTTTGAAAGCCACCTTTGGGTTTTAAAAGGAAGCTGGAACAGAACGGCTTGATAAATGCGTCTTAGATAATTGTTTTAATTGTGTTTACAATGTTTTGTATGAGGATTTTTCCTTTAACTGTGGCACTTATTATTGTGCGGGTTAGACTTGGATGTCGTTGCAGATTATGGGTGTGCTAACAGGATGGGTGCATGCCTAAACCAGTTAAGTGTTGGACACAGGAGGAGCAAGAAATGAAGGCAAGAGTCAGTGTATGTTGCGGTTGTGCTGGTGGAATTTTGGGCGATCTCTGGCCTAGTCGGTCAAGAAGACGGGTCTTAGGGGAGCGTGGGGGGATGGGAGGGGGCAGATTTAGGGTGAAGGGAGGATAGCTCCAGCTCCAGGCAACATACCAAGTGTGGGGTATAATCTGACAGCACTCAGCCAAGACACATGCAGGGCTAAGACCAGGCACCCTACCAAGACTAGGGCCTGTGGGGACATCCTGGTGAGAGCTAAGCCTCCAATGGGCCTGGAGTGGTGCCAGGAGCAACACACACACACACACACACACGCATACACGTTAACACGAATGCATAGTAAATCCACACACGCGTGGTAAAGCCTGTGCAGTGTCTCTCGTACACCCACACACAAATGCAGACACACTGCGCATACAAACACCACCACACATGGGGAGAATGAATGGAGCAATAAGACAAAGAAAGCATGAGGGCTGGGGAAATACAAGGTTTGCTATTTGAATGGAAGGGTTGGAGAGCCAGTTTTGTTGTTTATGTGCGAGTGTGCATTAGCACGTCAACATCTCATTCTGTCAGACTTCCCAACTACAACAGCAACTGCTGTGTATGAAATTAGCCTAATCGAGTTAAATCAACATTTTGTGTATGTCTCTGCTGCACTTTCCTCTTGACTAATCAAGCTGTCGTTGTGTGGTCCAATTGGAAATTGCCCTGAACGTTTGACTGACCTCACATTGCTAACTGACACTTCTTTGTCTTTCTCTTTCCATTCCCCACTCTGTTTCTTTCTGTTCCTCCTTCTCCTTCTTGCTGTTCCTCTGCAGATTATGTTTATTTTGAGAACTCGTCCAGTAACCCACTGCTGATCAGGAGGATAGAGGAGCTGAACAAGGTGAGTGTGAGTGGGTGTCTGAGGTTGAATTTATACCCTTGAATGCAGCACATATCCCAGCACTGCAAATCGGATATTAATGTCTCTATCTCAAACATTCAAATACACTTTAATGAAGGCACATTTTAACTAATATTAGGTGCTTTTTTGTATATTTAAGTAAAAATAAATAAATGTATCTTGTAATGTAGAATAGTTTTGCCATTAAAATCTATTTTCATTAGCTTTTTTGATATCTGAAGCTACTTTATACTTTCTACAACTTGTTCAGTGCAAAACTCCTCTTAGGTAGGAGGGGAATATATTAAACTGCCTAATTATTTCTTTCACTGTACATGTGTCATTTCACTTCATAATTTATTAGAGTGAACATAACATCTGAACAAATTGCACTTTGATTACAATGCAAATTTTGGTTTGGGGAATGTTGAAAAGAGGCATGTAATGATAGGCTGATTTATTTATTGAGAGAAACAAAATCATTATCTGTGCTGAAGTGTCCCAGCTTCTGAAGTGTGATGATTTGCAGATTTTTATTGTGTATGCGACAGCAAATAGGCTTTCATTCAGCTTCAGACTTACAGTCATTAAAAAAAGAAAATACAGCCTCTTAAAATTATAAGTTTTATATATCAGGGCATCAGAAAAACTTGGTCTTTTACGGGTCTTAAAATTAGGTAAATGTAACCCCAGAAGAAAAACAAAACATATTACACCATGTCATTATTTAGCAAATATTAAGCCAAAATGCGGGAGCAGCATGTGGAAAGACTAAGTATGTGCTAACTGTGTCCACGGGGATTAAAAGGGGAAGTATCAGCCAGGTGCTCCTAATCAAATTCACTTGATCATCATCAAGTATGGTCACCTCTATAAAAGCAGAAGCTTTGTCAATTTTTTGGTCTGAAGGATTCAGGTGTGTGTGTTAACACAGTGCCAAGGAAGAAAGATGTCAGCAATGATCTTAATGAATCAAATGTTGCTGTCCATCAATCTGAGTAGGGTTAAAAGTCAATTTCCAAACACTTTGAAGTCCATCGTGCGACAGCGAGAAAGATTATTCACAGTTGCCAGTCTACACTAAAGTGGACATCCCAATAAACTCACTTCAAGGTCAGACCATGTAACGCTTGGAGGAATTGCAGACAACCCAAGAGGCACATTTAAGACACTATATAGGCTTCAGTAATTGACTGGACAAGTATGGCTTTTTTGGAAATTTGCCTCTTATCTTGAAGAGAGAACATGGCAGCATGGCTTGGAGAAGGAAAGTCACATCTGAACAAATCGCCAGGACTTCAGGAACAATATCATTTGGACAGATGAGACTATAGTGAGACAAACTGTCAAGCACGGTGGTAGAAGGGTAGTGATTTTGGCATGCTTTGCAGTCATTGAGTCAACTCCTTTTGTATACCAAAGTATTCTAGAGTTAAATGTGAGGTCATCTAAAGCTTGGCTAAAATTGTGTCACCAGGACAGTGATCCCAAGCACACTAGCAAATCTCTTCCAGAGTGGCTGAAAAGTGTCTGGATCATTGAATCACTTGGATTTTTTCAAAGTCCAGACCTCAGCCTGATTAAAATGCTGTGGTGGGACCTTAAAAGAGCTGTGCATAAATTAATGCCCACAAACCTCAATGAACTGAAGTAACACTGTACGAAGAGTGAGCCCAAGTTCCACCACAACAATGTGACAGACTGATTAAGTCGTACTTAAAATGATTTCTTCAAGTTATTATTGCTAAAAGTGGTTCTTAAAGCTATTGAATCATGGTGTGCAATTAGTTTTTCACACACTGCTTCTGCATTTTGGCTTAATTAAATAATGACACATTGTAAATGCCTTGTGCTGTTTTTCATCTGAGGTTAAATTTACCTGGTTCTTAAGCCTTGTTATGGACTACATTGTTTTTTTTTTTAATGCCCAGATATGTAAAGCCTTAGAATTAACAATGGGTGTACTTTTATTTTTTACTGTTAGTGTGTTTTTAGACAATGCACTACTTGAATATGGGATGCTAGTCTTGACAAATTCTACAAACTAGATCTTAATGAAAAGAGAAACCAAATGTTAGTAGACAGATTTTTATTATACTTTTAAATGTATGATTTATGTGGTTCATATAGTAAATGGTATGTTTTTATTCAGCATAATGCAGTAGTGAAAGCAGTATTGCGTTGTAGTGTCACATTAATGATGATGTTGCTGTTAAGGTGTTGGGTAAATCCCAGCCTGCTATTTGGTACGTTGTTCAGTTAAAGAAGCAGAAAAAGAGATGTCTCTGTAGACTAGTTACAGGTGCCGGCTGTCTGTCCCCTGTTCCAGGCCTGCGCTGAATAATATGGAGAGTGTTTAATGTGATTGACACAGAGCTCAGAGTCGGCCTTCTATTCTGTCTGTCACTGTCAGTCTCTCTGCTCCTCGGGGATCTTTGGGTTTCTCTTCCATACGGCCTGAGATGCTGGTTTAGAAAATACAGTGTCTGAGGGAAAACATTTCCATTGATCAAAACTGATAACTGATCAAGTTAACAGTTTAGTCTGAAAATCTTTGTGCCCCAACAAGCTGCAAATCAGTTGGTTTGCCTGCTGATTAAAATGTGAAATAAATATGCAGTGTATAGCTTTCATGTAACTTGCATGCACATTTCTCTGTGTCTATTTATGATACTATTGTGAAAGGAAACTGTATATTTCACTGTTAAAATCACAGATCTTACTTGGGCGTGTTGCTCAGGTATATTAACAGCAGCCAAATTATATTTGAAGCCTCATCGTTTTTCCCAACCTACTCTCCAGGATGCTCCATCATTCTGTATACACCAGTATTTCTTGTTCTGCTCTTGAGGTACTGTGTGAGCTCCAGGGCCACTCTACCCAAAACCTGCATCAGGTGAAGTGCTGGTTCTTGTGCCACCTCATGGAGGCTACAGAGCAGAACAATGACTGCTATGAGCTAGCTGCAAGTTGGTGGATTTGGAGTCTCCCAGCAAGACCAGAGACAAGAGAAGCAGCTGATTGTGTTGCTTAATTATTTGTTGGTTGCAAAGTACTTAGCAAGTAGAATATTTGCAATGGGGCACATGCACCCCCAAGAATATCTAATTCAGTATGAAACACTCCTCATTCTGCTGTCCTATATTTAAACTCTGATCCATTAAAAAAAAAAAATCCTAGATAGGCCTTGTTTTTCGTTTCTTACACACAAACTCCAATGATAGTGCTGACCATAAATGGCTGTAGTACACTAAATACAGCTCTTACAGCTTAAATGTGCACATACATCATTTATGAAGTGATACTGGAAATGTTAAGATTAACTGTGGTTCATGTGGTTCACTGTGGTATGTGCTGTCACAGGGTGCTGTGGGAGTTTTATTTTTTTCAAAACTTTCTTCATTTTCAAAGAAAATGTTTTATTTTGTAGCCATAAATGGGCCATTTATCTCTCCTCTGTTCTATGGCCTTTTTTCAAAAATGGAACTGGAAAATTGGATTTTAATTATTTGATGATTGGGAAAGTAGAAAGTCTGCAGAGCTGAAGTGTCTACAGAATGTAAATCTATGTTAGGTGTTCACTTTGTTTGTCATCCCTTCGTTCCTGATACAGTACACAATAAACTCATAAAAAAGTTAGTCAGTGCTCAAAACTTAATGCATAGTGATTTGAAAAAAGGTAAAAGCTATAACTTGGTGTCTAAATTATACTTAGTATCTTTTACACTTACTAGGAATAATCTTACTAGGAGTATTCGTTTCTGTTTTTAGGTAGTATTCAATAAAATATTGTCATGCAGATTTTAATTTAAAAACAGTTCTGTGTGAAAACATCTATGTAGGAATTAATGTAAAGGGAAAAGAGCTGGGCTTGCACAGACAGTCCTCATCACTGCAACACGTGATTTTTTTTTTTTTTTCTTTTTTCTTTTTTTGGAGGATTGCTGTGGCCACTTTGTTTTCAGGCAAAGTTAAAAAGCTAGCCTCAGTTATGGGTTTTTCATCTGTGTGCGCGTGCCCGTGCATGCGTGTGTTGGTTCTCTGTGTGAGGCACCACTTGTTGCCATGGTAACGCTGATTGTCTCTGGTTTGCAGACAGCCAATGGGAATGTGGAGGCCAAAGTGGTGTGTTTTTACCGGCGCAGGGACATCTCCAGCACACTCATCGCTCTGGCAGACAAACATGCAAGTGAGTGACCGACCATAACCCAGCCAGCCAAAATCATGCAACAAACAAAACTGCCAACCAGGACATGAAACATTTCTTTCTGACAACCCTCTGCAGTCATATTCCACTGCAAACTTGTGGTACTTTCACATCCAATCGAACAAGATTTCCCTGAACAGAAAAATACAGCTCTGCTTGTTGTTTGGCTTGATTGTAAGCTTGTTTGCACTTCAGATTTTATCAAGGGGTGATACAAAATTGAAGTTTGTTTTCTTTTACCAAGCTGGTCCAGACTTTAGCCCCTCCTCTGATAGACCTACTTGCAGAAAGCATTCGATAAGTTATGTATATCAATATGGTAACGTCTGAGTGTTTGGGTGAGTTTAGTTTGTGCTTGAATATGCTCCTGTCCTTCAGAGCTTGGAGCATTGCTGCTTGGGCTCCATCTCAGGTGCCTTTCGTATGTTTTTATTATTATTTTTTTCTTTTTAAGTTCTGGCTACCAGGAAGTTTAGTCTGAGAGAAGCGCCTTCAAGCGGTGGTTTTAAAAATAGGGAACAGGAAATATAGAAGCTCCGTCAGAGAGACATAGAATGTGATGGTAGCTTTGATAACAGTAAAAGAAAGTAGTGTAAATGAAAACTGTTAACAGGTAACACAAGTATGTCATTTAAAGGCCAAACTATTGAGACTACTAGGTCACGTCCCTCGTGGTCAGTTGGAAATTACGCCTTCAGGGCACTGCTCCAGAGTGCTCCAAAGAAGAAGAGAAGGATACAGGATTTATTGCCACTTAGAGATATTGCTTTTGGCATGACCACCTCTTCTTCCATATTACCTGTTTGACCATGTAAAAGGTGCCTTTTTTTTGGCTCATGGAGGTACATCGAGGTCCCACTATGGGCCTTTTATGAGGTAACTATGCAGTTTGGCTACATATATTTAAGGCACTTAGTCTGTTTTCCTTTAATCTTTGCATTTTCTTCTTATTTTATTGTAATTTTCTAGACATATTTTAACTGAATAAAAACCTGTGCAGTTTGCTTGTTAGTTGAATACGGTTGTAAACCTTGTCTGCAAGCCAACCTTGCCTTGGAAGGTTATATCTATTTTAAATGTAACTTGAAAAGACCTGAGTTCATCCTCATTTGAAACTGTTGTCTATCTATTGTGTGTTTAGTCTTGTGGGAAAATATAATCGCCCACTACTACCCACTACTTAAGTTAGCAATCTGTATCCATGCTGCCACAGCGGAGCATTTGGTTGCCTCGCAACAAGATGGACCTGGGTTCAAACCCAGGAAGGCTAATGCAGCCAATGTAAGAGGTTCTTAATCTCATGGGTTCTCACTGGTTAAATAGAGGCTAAATAGATCTATGAACAGTTATTTTTCATATCGTCTCTCATCAGGAATATGACATTCTCCTATGTCAGTGGTCATGTGGCAGCAATGTAAAAGAATCAAGCAAATCAAATGGTTCATTCTGTACTCATCAGTTACAGTTTTATTATTTTTTTCCGTTTCTTCGAACAAGTAATTTCTCTGACGTCACTCCATTTTTATTGCATGTGTTTTTGACCCGCTTGTAATCCTGAATTACTGATGTACTTTCCAAGGTGACTGACAGAAGGCAACATACTCAGCTGGTTTCTACTATACCTGTTATACAAAAGAGCCGATATAGCTAAGTAGAATAACACATTAGCACTTGCTTTCTCTATGTAATGGAGTGTTTCATTAACAACGGTCCACACTCCTGACATACTCAGGTTCTTTTGGAGGCTCAAAAAGACTTTTGGCTAAAGCAGGTACACTTGGTGTCCAGAGCAGTGTGGCCAGTTTTATCAGGTAGACTTAACATTAATATGAAAGCACTAGGGCTGGGCCATATCATATCGTTCACGGTAATACCGGTATAATGTTGGGCAACGATAAGATGGGTAAAACGTGCATACGCAGTGCCTTTGTTTTCATACGCACATGGCCGAAAAAGGATGGCGGCGACGGAGAATGAGAAGGGCGAAAGCGGATTGTTGAATGAAACGGATGAACCAGAATTGGTTTGTAAAAATGCTGCAACTTCAGTGGTGTGGAACTGGTTTAGCTTTCGTCTGTCAGACACACAACAAAGCACTATTTTTGGTAGAGCATGCTAGAGGCCGTCGTTATTACCGTGTTCTTTGGAAAATACGGCACACTTAAAATCAATCCTTTGATTTTTCTGAAAATCGACAGTGCCCCTTATAATCCCGTGTGCCTTATGTATGAATTCTGGTTGTGTTTACTGACCTCGAAACGATTTTATGTCGTACACGGCGCTCGAAAATCTGTCAAATGTTTTAGTACGACTTTGCTAAGCTACGAACCCGCACCGCTTGATGGATTATCGGAGCATTACGGCTATCGTAGGCAGGAGCCTCGTGGAATGATACGTACTGTGCTTCAACATAATATTACCGTATTGTGTGTGTATAACCTCTTTTTTTTTTTTTAAGTTTTGTAGATATTATACATGTTTATGCTGAGGATCTGTTGGCCAGTTTCCACTGGAAATGCCTTTTGGTTAAACTGTCAGCAATTTGCATTTGCACTGTTAAATTTTTGACATAACACATAAAAAACAGATGCTTTTTTGTTGTTTTTTTTTTTTTTTTTTTTTTTTGCACTAATAAAGTTGTGGAGTTATAAAGTATTTTGTCTAGTGTCAATTATATCGTTATCGCAAATTTTCAAATGTATATCATGATAAATATTTTTGGTCATATCGCCCTGCTCTAGAAAGCACTCGTAAAACAGATCCGGCTAAAGCAAATAGAAAAAATCTTTGCATGTTATTTGACGTCCATTTTTTCTTGTGATAACCAGCAGTGGAAACACTGACATCCTTTAGTCGAGACCAGCAAAACCAGCCACCAGACTTTGTCTGGGTGTGGCAGGATAAATGTTAGCTCTTCGGGTGTGAAAGTGTGTGTGCGTGTGCGTGCGTGTCTGAGAGCTAGTATCCTGTTAGTGTGTGAATGTATGTGTGTGTGCGTGTGTGTGTGTCTGTGTCTTAACCACAGCGTCTACTGAGGAGGCCTGGGGGTTGTAACCATGGCAGAAGGGGATTGTTTATTCTGCTGGACCACACAGCATCAGCTTCTTAGTGTGGCATTCTCTTAAGAAGGTCTGATTATTTTTGATGTTTTTGTTCTTGCTCTGGTGTTGATTGAAAAGGAAATATGCTCTTATTGTATATTGGAAAGAGTCATTAAATATTGCTATTTCTGTATTTTTGTGGATCGCTTGTATCCTCTCTCTGGTTTCTTGATAAATAAATATGAATGTATAATCAGGGTTGCAGTGTTAAAAACAATACTCCAATAAAGCTAGCGTTATATGGAAGTTGCACTGTGCTGATGGATATTGCATTATGAATGTTGCATCAGTGGACTGTTCCTATATAGAGCTCTCTACCAGCTGCAGTTCAGTGAGGGGGCTTCTAGACATTTTCAATATGTAAAAAAAATGCATGTAAGGAATTGCTGTGCACCCCATGGGTGTGGGCTGCATCCTGTCTGCATTTATGTAGCTGCAGCCCCACTTTGGCTGAGTGTATATGTGCTTCTGCATGCTTGTGTGGGTCCGCGTGTTATACGTGCATGATGTACTTGAGTTTTTAGCTCTGGGCCCTGTCGGAGGAATTGCTGAAGGGGTGCATTTAATTCAGTTTCGTTGTGGACCAGCGGAGGATGGCGGTGGTGTGTGTGTGCTTTTAATGTGTGTCTGCTGTGAGTCATTGATCAAATATTTTGCTTGCAAAGATTCAGAGCACTCCCTCAATGGGGCCTCCGAATCCAGTGGTAGCCCCTCCCCTGTGAGTGAAGCAGGCTCCTGAGTGGTCAGACTCTGTGGCAGATTTGGCATTTTACCTCCACGGCCCCTCCTTCCACACATTTGAATTTGCCATGACTCAAACCTTTTTTCTATTTTGGAGATGTCGCTCCTTGCTTCTATAAACAATAGGAAACACTGTTGCCAGTGAAATGATGCACAGAAAGTTGAATCAGCTTGACTAAAATCAAGCAGGTCTTCAGCTAACGTTATGTTACATCAACCTCCCCCCCCTTTTTTTTTTTTAAGGCTAAAATAATGTTCAAAAACAATGGAATATTCTTTTTATTATGTTTTAATGTCGAATAACTAAGTGCATGGTATAGGAGTTTGCACATCGTCACTTACACAGTTAGAAAGTCATAAGCTTTTACTGTGAGTAATAGCCTGATCAACTGTAGCTATTCAGACTGTTTTTGGCTTGTTTCTTTGTACAGCAGTGACTTAACCCACTGCAGGACTCGCACGTTACCTACTGTAAGCAAATAATAAACAAAAGAAATGTATATTTTATGAAAAAGTGTATAGTCTATAGGAATATTTATTCTTTTTGCCTTCATGAAATGCTGACATGTAGCTGTACAGATGGTTGTATACCATATGGATTTTGCAGAATAATGCAGGTAGCAGTCATTTTCAATATGCTGTAAACAAATAAATGAAAACCTATGAAATTAAATTCGTATCTCCTTTTTCTTCAACCTGGTTCAAGTGGTTTACTGTTTGTTGCTGAAAGATATGCCTCTGGAATGAACATAACTGCTTTTTATTTTTAATGACCTTGTTTTCTGCATGTATTTACAAGCACGCACGAAAAGAAATATCTGCCAAAACTGCATTTCGTCAGCTATTCAAACTTTTGCACACACAGCAACAGCCAGATTATTCTAATTCTGTTTCCTACTTCCTTATGTTTCCTACAAAAGCTGGTAGTCTTTAGATATGCTATTGACACTGCATAGCAGTTTGAAAGACACTGTTCACCGTGTCTACTGCACTGCTGTAGAAATGATCTTAAACATGTGACCACGTTTAAACGGGTGGCGCAGTGAGAAGATTCTGGGTTGGAACCTATTGGCTAGGTGTACTGTATTTGGGCACACAGTCTAAAGACATCCTTGTTAGGTGAACTGCTAATTCTGTATT